ATCAATATATTCCTAATATTATTACATATGATGATTATAATGATGAAATTGATAAAAAAATAAAATATCTTAAGAAGGAGAATAAACATATTAGAGATCAAATAAAAGCTGGTGGTCTTGAACGTCAAGAAATTAATCGTAAGATTAGAGATAATCAAAGGCGTATAGATATACTTGAAAAGGAGAATATAGAATTAAAGCGTAATCAACAACAATTTGTTACTAAAGAAGATCTTAGGTCTTATAATATATTTTTACGACATCGATTTGGTTATTCTGAAAGGTTAATTGAAGAGATGACTAGTATACTTAATGATATGAGACCGATTGTTTCTCGTATACCCGAGTTTGAAAAATTGCTTGGTCAATATGGTAATGATATAAATGCAATAAATGGAACTATTGGAAAAATGAATGAAGAAATTGAAAAAAGTTATAAGACTATGAATGCACGTGATCGTATGTATAATGCTGGTTTGAATGCTCTTTCTAATGCTATTTATGTTTCTAAAAATGAGCAACGTATTATGCAAACTCTTATTAATGGTATTATTGCTGGTATAAATGAAATGAGAGTTAAACAACCTGATTTGTATAATGCGGAGCTTAAAAATATTAATAATTTTTTGGATAGGCTTAATCTGCGTATTGATCAAAGTAATGAGCGTATTAAAGTATTAGAAGATGAAAATAAAACATATGCTAGTGATTTTGATTATTTGGAGAAGAACTTTCCTCAGATAGATAGAAAAATGAGTCAAGAAGTTTATAAGCAAGAAAGTGATCAAGTCACATTTAATAAATGGAAACTTATTAGTGAAATAACGAAGTTGATGGGTAATCGTTTTTATATTAATGAAAATCAAGTTGCTCAATATATTAGAAGTATATCTGATCCTGCTATGCGAGCTGGGGCTAAACGACGTTTTGATGCTAAGTTTGGAGCTATTGCTAGTAATATTAGAAAATATAATGAAGGAAGGATGCGAGATATGTCCCCTGTTATAAATTTAATTGCTGATATCCAAGAAGAAGTTGGTAGAGGTAATGAATTAGCTAATGCCGCTTTTAATGTTTTAGGTGGTATAAATCCTAGTAGAGGTAATGGAGGAAGTGGAACTGCTTCTATATTGGTTCCTGTTGCTACTCGTGTACGTGATGTTAAACTTGAACGACCTTCATTTGTAAATGATCCCACTATAATGAAAAGATTGAGTAAATTATATGAAGAATTTCCAAGAGTTGTTAAACAATTTGCTAGAAATCGACCTCTTGAATATGGTCCTAATCGTCATTTCTTTGAACAATTACAAAAAAGAGTTGATGTTGCAAAGAGTATATTTGTTGATAATGATTATAAAATTCCCATTAACAGTGTTAGTGTAGGTAATTTTGTTGATAGTTTTACTGATCTCATGAATAAAATGAATAATAATACTTTTAACTTAACTGATTTATTGCAATCATCTAATATTCTTGATAAGGATATAGATAAAATGAACGTTGAATATCAAAGAAATTATGATGTAGATCAACAGCTGATTTATAATAAGGCTATTCAACTTAATGAAACTACTCCCGAACGTTTTGATAATGCTCTTCGAAATGCTGTTACTAGGAGATACATTGATGAATATTATACAACCGATAATCGTTTATTGAATAATAATCAAATGCAGAGTATAGTCGCTAATGTTGTTGGTGGTGATGTTGAAACTGTTGAAAATAAATCAAGAAATATTAATAAAGGAAATAAAAAATATGATGTTAAGTTTATGCGTGTTGATGTTGATAAATCTCTTTTGAAGGGTAATATTGTAGAAGAATTGAAACCTGGTAAGTATAATGTTAAGCTTGGAAAGAAAGTTCCTGTAGAACCTTATGATTTTACTGATGCTCAATTAACTGCTTTAGTTCAAGAACAGATTGCAAATGAACGTCTTGAAGAAGATCGTCGTAAGCTACTTGAATATACTGATACTCGTTCTGTTAGTCGTAAGACTGTAGATGGTAGTCCTTATGATCCTTCTCAGAGTAGTTCTATGAAA